AAAAAAAAAAAAAAATAGAATATTGTAGAAAGCATCTGCAAATGGCCACGTGGCAAGATATTATTATTATTATTATTTTGTTTTATTAAATTTAATTTTACTAGTATTTTAACATCACTGGTGAGTTTAATATATTAGACTGCGAATTTTCGAAAATACAGTTGAAAAAGAGAGTAGAAAGATAGAACCAGAAATAATTTTACAGTTTTATACACAGAATATTACAGAAAGCACTTGCAAATGGCCACGTGGCCAAACGTATCATTATTACTATTTCATTTTATTAAATTTAATTTTGCGAGTTTTTGAGAGCTCAGTTGAAAACGAAAGCAAAGGAAAAAGAAGAAATAGATAATTTTAGTTTTATCCACGGAATATTACAGAAAGCACTTGGCCAAACGTATCATTATTACTATTTCATTTTATTAAATTTTACGAGTTTTTGAGTACTCAGTTGAAAACGAAAGCAAGAAAAAAAAGAAAAAAAAGAAGAAATAGATAATGATAGAGATAAGAAACACACTGCTATTTTGTAACTATTACGTCGCGATTTCAATGTTTACTGGCTACCATCTTGAACAATAATCGTAGGTGCTCGGAGGAAGCAGCGTGCTAAACGCGATGCTCTACATCCGCGGCAACAGGAAGGATTACGACAACTGGGAGAGGATGGGCAATCCAGGATGGGACTACGAGAGCGTGCTGCCTTATTTCAAGAAGTCCGAGGACATGAGGATCGAGGAGTACCGGGACTCGCCGTATCATCAGACTGGCGGCTACCTGAAGGTCGAACACTTCAAGTATCACTCGACCGTGACCGACTACCTGATAACAGCCGGCACAGAGATGGGGTACAAGGTTCTGGATGTGAATGGTCCCACGCAGACTGGATTCACCTACTCTCACGGAACGTTGAAGGAGGGGTTGCGATGCAGCACGGCGAAAGCTTTCCTGCGAACCGCCTCCGAACGCAGGAACTTGCACGTCAGTACCAGATCGATGGTGGAGAAAATTCTGATACGCCAAGGTGAGCTCATTTTGTGTGCCGATTAAATTCAATCTAGGATTTAATATACACACACACATACCCATGATGAAAGTATTTAAATGCAATTTGATATAT